TTCCCAGTCCAACACCAGGGGGTGGGGGTGGTGCTCACCTTTAATCCTAGCACTCAGGAGATGGAGACAGGTGTATCTTTATGAGTTGGAGACCATCCTAGTCTACAGAGTGAGTTCCAAGACATCCAGGGCTACACAGAGAAACCCTGTCTCAAAAATCTGAAACAACAACAACAACAAAAATTCCAGTCCTCCTGTCATCACCTCCTAAGTGCCTGGATTACAGGCCTGCACCATCATGCCTAGCATAATAGGGTATATTTAAAGGGCTTTTTGTTGTTTGTTTGGTTTTTCAAGAAACGGTTTCTTTGTGTAGTCCTGGCTGTCCTGGAACTAGCTCTGTAGACCAGGGTGACCTCAAATTCAGAGGTTTGCCTGCCTCTGCCTCCCAAAGGTTGAGAATAAAGGCATGCACCACCACTGTCTTTTTTTTTTTAGCTTATCACCCCCTCACCCCCTCACACAGTGGTATATTTGGGCAATCTTTCAATATCTGATGGAGAAATGTAGAGCTACTAATAAGAAAAGAGATAGATTAAAGGCCTATTCTCATCCCATTGTGTATCTTTTAGAGAGTTAAGAAATGACATCATCTCTCTCACATTTGAAACTGAATTGTCTCTTCCAAATTTTCCTTTCTAATAGATCATGAAGCATGTTTTAATTTGAGATAGCCAAAGACAGCATTGAGAACTTCAGAAGAGAAACAGAAGATTTTATAACTTTATAGACCACCCATCCATCAATGAGCAAGCTGGGTGGATTTAGTCCATGCCATATTAGAAAAGCTGGGTTTTCAATAAAACATCTTTGAATGTGTTTCTCATGAGGGTTCACATCCTAGTTTCCTGCACAAAAGCATTTGTTTTGAAGATGCATTTGCTGGAAGCAGCCAGCGACTCCGGTTCTTTTTGTAGACATGTCATCCACTTGGGTAGTGCTTAAAATAAAGTACCCAGCTAGAAGGGAGGCTGGAACAGACAACAAGCAATATAATACAAATTGTTATGAGTAAAGTGTGTTACTCAGATCCCGCTAAAATACATGCCTCCTTTATTTTGAAGGCAACTTGACTAATGGAACCAGTCCTTCCTTTGATCATCAATAGGGCCATCTTTTTGGGAAACCAAGTCCCACCTCAGCTGGCAGTTTTAACTGAGGCTGACATGAAAGAGAGAGGGCCTGTTTAATTATCTATTCCCTGAAAAGCATGCCTTTTCTCTCTTTAAATTAATGATTCTCCTGCTAAAACCCAAGCAAGAATGTCATAGAATCGTAGGTGGGGAGAGAGATGATCATTTGTTCTTTATTATTATTGCTGTTGCTATATTCTTTTCCTCTGGGCAGCATATAGTATCTGGATTGTGTCAGCTTTACAGCTATAGCTTTCTGGTCCTGAGTGACAGATTTTTTTTGACCAAGTGAGTGAGAATGAAACAAAATAAAATGCAATATGGATGCATTTTTGAAATCTTCCAATGGCTTGGAGAAAGGAGCCTTTGTACGGTAGATGTTCAGTGAATTTTCACAATAATTAAACATTGCAGTGAATGAAGGGTAAGTCTTGAGATCTTCTTAGGTTTGTTGCAGCAACTGCTTTTTATTTTTCCCAGGTTTCTGTCTACATTTGAAAGAAGTAAAAGAGGGTGGTGGTGAACTCCAGGGGTGCTGATCATACAAGCCTCAAGCCTAGTGAGGGTACAGGGTACTTGGAAGAGCTAGTGTGACTTGAGATGTGGGGTAAATGCAAAACACACCCTTCGGTTTAGTGGGGGAGCCTTGCACGGTACTTGTAACCTCAGACTCAAGAATTCAAGATCATTTTTGGCTATATATTGAGTTTGAAACCAATCTAGACTACATGAGACCCTGCCTAAAGAACAAATAAGTATTAAGTACGAAAAAGGGTGTAAATAATATATTGATCACATGTTGAATATAATATTTGGGGTATATTGTGATTAAATGCAGTAGGCGAATGTTGCCGTTTTAATTTTTGTTTTTTAAATTAATTAATTTATTTTGAGATGGGATTTCTCTATGTATCTGTGACTGTCCTGGAACCTGCTATATAGACCAGGCAGGTCTCAAACTCACTGATATCTACCGCCTTTACTTCCTTGGTTTTAAAATTTGACAAGTAGAATTTAAAATGGCCTATGTGTGTCACACTATATTATTGATGAACACTGTACTAGGCTTCAGGGATAAGCTAGACAATGACACATCTGTTTGTTTGTTTGTTTGTTTGTTTTCAAGACAGGGTTTCTCTGTGTAACAGTCCTGGCTGTCCATGGTTGTTGTTGTTTTAAAAGGAAATTGTTTCCCTGAAGCTTGTAATCTTTAGATATCTAAAACTTAACCCTGACTTGGTTACCCAGTTACCCAGGCTGCCCTGGGCCTGAGATGGTGGAGTTGGGAGGTAGAGAGAAGCATGTGTAATTGAGCTCCCTATTGCAATACCCACTCCAGGACCTGGGGGCGGGGGTGGGGTGAGGGTGGAAGTGGGGTGGGGAGGAGGGAGGCTGGACACCTTGTGCCCTGCATTCAGGGCACTGTAGGTCTGGGCCAGAGCTGGTTTGGTCACTCTATCCCCCCCCCAGGTTCTGTTCAAGGAGTTTGGCCAATAGGAGAAACTTTACAGCATCCCTTGCACTTCCCTCCCTTTGGTGCACTGGGCTGAGGCCCTATAGGGTCCCCATCTGTGATGTGTCTGTCATGGATAAGGGTGGTGGCGGCACCGAGGATGCCTAAGAGTCCCCAGGTATCTGCTTTGGTCCTGGAGGCTGGAGCAGTACTCATCTAGCCTCCTAGCATTGTTCGCCAGCAGCGCTAACAAGGAAGGGAAAGACGTCAGCGCCCCAGGTCTTGCACCTTTCCCAGGGACCGGGTTTCCTCCTTCGGCTCTTCTTAGGTTTCTATGGCGACCTAAAAAAGTTGGAGGCAGGATGGCCGCGTTTCCAGTCTCTCTCCAAGGGCAGCTGGCTAGCTTGGGGGTGAGCCTCCACATCAGCTTCTGCCCGGGGAGAGCCGAAGCCTGAGCAGAGAACACACCATCTATGTCAGGGTATAAAAGCTGTCTGACACCGAAGGACCCCACTCTTCTTCACCCTTGTGATCCCCAGAGCACTCCAAGAGGTGTACGAGGAAGAGTTCTCTGTGTCACCGTTCAAAAACTGGCACTCAAGGACGTTTCTACTAATCCTGTTCCCCAAATGACATTCAGTCTTTTCTGTTTCCATGGTACAAGCTAGTCCCTGACTCAAGGAAGCTGAAAGCCCGCCCTCCGGAGGCCCGGGTGAGGATCTGTACAGTAGCTAGGAACCTAGCCCAAAGGCTGAAACCCACTAAAGTCTGGTTGTAATGCCCCTGCCCCATAATAGTCTGCCAGCCTTGTGTTTGGAGATGGGGTGACTGATATCCATTTGATACATTCACACGGAGAGTAGAGATGGATGGACTTCCCTTGTGTAGATCATCATCTCAGTGCCCCTTCAACACTTTCCTTCATCTCCCTGAGTACCATAAACCATGACTTGGTCAGGACAAATGGTCAGGGAACTTCTTAAACTCTAGAATCTCCTTTCAGTGTGGTCATCTCCTCTTCTGCCTTCTCTTCCTACTATTACAAACTTCAACACATAAGTCACCTCTCAGACAAAGAGAAACAGTTCTGACTTCATTCACATGCCTTCTTACCAAGACTTTCACTCTCTCCCTGCCTGCTTTCCTCCACTTCCTCTCCTATCTGCTTACCAGTGTGTCCGTGTGGAATAGGACACTTCCACTTCCTGGAGCACTGAAGTTTGGGGCCTAATTGATTCTGGTAATTAATTTGTTCTACCTGCTAGATCAGATGGAAATCCTACTGCAGCGCCCAAGGATTAACACTTGACTTCACAGCACCTCCTCTAATTATCTAATAGCATGGGTTGTGAGGACTCAGTCTCCGTTAAGACACTTTTGCTATTAGCAGTAGTGATTGGAATTGTGATGACGACTAGATATCAACAAATTAGAGCTTAAAAATTGGGAGATGGAAGAGAAGTGGCTTCTTTTAATTTCCCCGAGTTTAACATCAATAATTAGAGCAATTTTCAGAGATGCGAGCCCAAATTACTCCTGCTGTGCTGTAGATGATCACCTTAATTTTAGCAAATTGACTCCAGGGAACTAAATGTGACAGATTAGAAAAAGACAAACAGGAAAAAAAAAAGGATTGGAAAGAAGAGGAAGGAAAGAGACAGGGAGAAAATCTAATGCAGCGATGGGGAAAAGCTGTGGCTTGAACGGGTGGTGTAGCAGAAATAGCCAACAAAACAAAATGTATACTGAATCGAAAAGCAGCATGGAGGGTACAGCAAAGGTGGCTGTGGATAGATTTAAAATGATCAAGTCGTTTGGGTGATAGACATAGACACCCCCTCCCCAACTCTGTCCATTCCCTAAATTCCAGGTAGTCTTCGACCATCATCTTTATTTCCCTCAACAATTCAGCCATCACCCCCTTCAATTTAATCTACCTCTAGCAACTTGATGTAGCCGACAGTCTGCATCTTTATTTCTTCACTTTTCTCCTCCTTTGTTAGCGAGTACTGAAACTCTTAAAAAAATCAAACTGACTCAAATGCTTGAGTAAGTGCTTTATTCCTACGCTATTGGGACTCTTTTGGTATTCTTGTTTGTTAGACAACGGCGAAAAAATTCATTTTCAGTCTTTTAAAAAGACGGAACACAACAGCTCTTGCAGGGGAGGGGCAGAATTTGGGACCAAGAAGCGTGCTAGGAACCGAACGAACCCATTGGGCTCAGCGCTCCCTGCCTGGCCAGGCTCATTCAGCACCGCGGACAGATCACCGCCCCGCCCCGAGCCCACCCCACCCTCCCCCTCTGCCTCCGCAGCCTCGCTATTGGTTCTCCCAGCTCCCCTCTCCAAGCTGCCAATTTTCCAACACAGGCAACCAACCTACCCCGGCGCTGGAGAGGCAAGAAGACAAGCGCCGGGGATAGCCCAGGTCGGTAGAGCAGCGGAGATCTGAGCCTAGGCGATCAGGAGCAGGTGCGGGCTTTCGACTAGGCCAGCTGCGAAGCTGTCTGCCTCCTACACTTTGTCCTGGCCCTCACCCTGTGACAGGCGCTTTACAAGATGAATCTCAACTTCACCTCTCCTCTCCATCCGGCATCTTCTCAGAGGCCCACGTCGTTTTTCATAGAGGACATTCTGCTACACAAGCCTAAGCCGCTGAGAGAGGTGGCCCCTGACCACTTTGCCAGCTCTCTGGCCTCTAGGGTGCCTTTGCTAGACTATGGCTACCCCCTTATGCCCACGCCCACCCTCCTCACCCCTCATGCCCATCACCCTCTGCATAAGGGAGACCATCATCATCCTTATTTCCTGACCACCTCTGGTAAGTAGCAGAAGCCTCTAGGAGGGGGGGGAGAGAGGGTGAGCTGGGTTTTGTTTGTTTGTTTTGTTTTGTGTTAGCACAGCCCCCAGAGACCAGATCTGGAGGGAGACAAGATCTGGCCAGGTGGCCATACTCCTTCTGTAACCGTAGAAGGTTAGGGACACGGCTGAGTGAAGGAGAGCTCCTCTGAGGCATGCCAGTTGAGGGGAACAATTTGTGGTTACTTCACAGTTTTTATAATGGGATGGTGATTGTGCCTGGCCAGAGGCAGCTGAAGTGGATGGATGTGACCACACTCCTGGTGGGCAGTGCTCAGTCTCACTCGACTCCTACAGGCCACTTTGTTCGTTTCTTAACCCCCCCCCCACTTCCTAACCTCTTCCATCACAGAAGGAGGCTCTCAATTATCTTGTCCCAGGGAACCGCAATGAACTTTCCAGTGCAGAAACGGAAAAGGCTTCACTTGGTCTTAAACTAGGTTGGGTCAGGAACATGAGCCGCCAACTCTGCAGAGGACATGGGAGTCAGGGAGGGCTTGTGGGGGTTGTAGGGGAAAGACAATTCAGATTGGCAGGAAGCATTCAGAACAGAAGAGGACTGCAGTTCCCTGAAGAGCCTTCATGCCCAATGTCCAACTTTTAATTCGTGGTCAGTCCGCCTGGCTTTCTTCTGGTCCAGTGGCTAGAGACATTGGAATCAGTTGCTAAAGCATTTCAGATTTACTGTTTGGCAGGGACTGGGGCCTGATAAAGTAAGACTGGGCCTGGAGATGCTGGGAAATATGTAGGTTTTGTTCGTTTGTTTCTCTTGGGCTACACACACACTTTCTTCCCCAGCATTTTCGCTCCAGCCAGAATAGAAAAATTCTTCTAGTCCCGATGCTGAGCACAATAGTAAATTGGCTCCAGTAGGAGCCGAGGGAAGGCAGCAGGATATGTGTGAAATATGGGTGCTGGAATCTAGAAAAAAAAAGATTAAAAGTGGCGGTAAACCCCATTCTCATGCGCTAGCTTAGAGAGGAGATTTTGAGGTTCTCCTTGAGGTCTGCATTGCTCCCTGGCTTCACCACCCGGCTGACGACGACGACGAACTCTTCTTCCGGGCCGGTATTGCTTGAAATCTGGGGTGCTAAAGCAGCTTGATTTTTTCTTTCCCGGGGATTGAGATACACCAGTGTGAGGCCTGCGTGCTTGGAGCGTCTAAAACAGCCAGTAAAGCTGAGAGGGTGGTGAAAAAGGCACTTCAGCTCTCCTGGTTCACGGAATCAGGGGAAAAGCTTAGGATCAGACTACAGAGCAGGGTCTCCAGGGCGACCCTGCCACTGACAAGGAAATGTCAGAGGCCATTGCCACAGTTTCTTTGGATAAGCGTTTGCTTTTTGTTTTTTTCTCTGTTCTGTTTGGTTTCTGGAAGGATAAGGGAGGCCAGGGAAAGGTGCTTTTCAGAGTTGAGAAGGCAAACAAAGTCCTATCTAGTTTATTGCACCAGACTAGCACTGGGTGTTGTAGAGGTCTGGATGGATGCGGGTGGACAGTTCCAGTACCATCGGACTTTTGCAAGAAAACTTTGCAAGGGCCAGCAGATAACTGAATGTGCGCTCTGAGGAAGTCTCTCTGGGAAGATGAATTCTTAAAAAACCATCTGTATCTTTGCTCTATTTTTCTTTTTCTGTTTCATTTTTGCTGTTTATTATTTGTATTTCGTGATGGTCTTCTAGGAAGAGATCTCCAAGGGCTGTTTTGAGACACCTCTTCCCGCTGTCCTAGGGTCATTGGAAGATGGACTCCAGGAGTTTGGGGGCGATAGGAGACAGGTGTTTGGGAACGCTGGGCATCGGAGTGGAGCTGGGAGGCCAACGGTTGCTTCCGGGAGATGTGGATTCTGTCCTTTAGACTGCTCTTGTCTCTGTAGGGGTGCCGGTCCCGGCTCTGTTCCCGCACCCGCAGCACGCAGAGCTGCCGGGGAAGCACTGCCGCCGCCGCAAAGCTCGCACCGTGTTTTCTGACTCGCAGCTCTCCGGCCTGGAGAAAAGGTTCGAAATCCAGCGCTACCTGTCGACTCCAGAGCGCGTGGAACTGGCCACAGCCCTCAGCCTCTCCGAGACTCAGGTTGGCGGAAGCCGGGAGAAGGCCCCCGGATTCTGCGTCCCGCTCTTCTCCCCTCAGCTATGAACAGATCCAGAACCACCGAGTAAAAATGAACCTCTCCCCTGTCCTTCCAAGACCCGACAGAATTTATGCCTAAATTTCACATTAGATTTATCTACCTGACTATGTTGGGGGGAGTTGGTCACGTTGAGTGATTCAGCTGTCACCTCCAAGTCAACAGTTATTTTTATTCCTCTTCCAATCAAGCAGGTGACAGCTGATTTAGAGGGTTCTTATTTCTGGAGTAGCTTAAATATATATATTTTTTGAGAGGGTCTCACCGTGTAGCCGAGGCTAACCGCCCTGTGCGGATTACCAGCTTACCACCAACACTTTGCGCTCCCTTTACTTCACTGCCCTCTGTGTGCTTAATTTAGTTAGTGTCATTCATAGTAAGTCTTCCTAGGAACCCCAGGGCTTGCACACACGGGAGTTTAAGCCTCCCCTCGCGTTTTTATCTTTTGTCCCACCCACCCCCTTAGCCTCTTCCTTTATTCCTTTTCATGATCTTGCCGTGAAATCGTTAGCAGAGACTAATATTGTCTCGAAGGAAAAACAGTCACTTCACTCCATTCTTGTCTTGCGGTCCACGAGTCCTGTTGAAGCCGGGATTTAGTTGTCTGTATCACAGGATCATAAATTGACCTGCCCCCATCCATGCAGCACTTACTCTTATTAATTACTATCCACTTCACTATCCTCGTCACTATTCCGGGACAATCTCTCTTGGAAGCCTTATGTCTCATTCAGCCTAAAACGATGATAATGTGTGACTTTCCCAAAACCGCAAGGCGACCATAGTGTTAGGCCGAAATCAATTCAGTAGACAGAGGGCCTTTCCCCCTAAACTTCACCACTCTCCCAGATTTTGTCTACGGAATGACATGATTTTGTTTGTATCCCCTAAACCAGGTGAAAACGTGGTTCCAGAACCGGCGGATGAAGCATAAAAAGCAGCTGAGGAAAACTCAAGATGAACCCAAAGCCGCAGACGGGCCTGAGAGCCCTGAGGGCAGCCCCCGTGCCCCGGAGGCCGCGGTGGCCGAGGCTCGGCTGAGTCTGCCCTCCGGCGCCTTCGTGCTTACCGAGCCGGAGGATGAGGTGGACATTGGGGACGAAGGCGAGCTCAGCTCAGGGCCGCACGTGCTCTGAGTGACCGGGCTGGGGAGGGAGACCAGGGCGAGGAGGTTGCGGAAGGCCAGACGTGGTCCTTCCCTGGCGGAAAGACTCGCCGAGACGCTAGACTCTGTGCCAGCCGCCTGGGCTGTAAGAAAGACAGACTGCAGCCCATTGGTCAACCTGCAGCCGCCCGCGACTCGCCCCCAAGCCTCCTCCGGGTCCCTATCCTGTCCCCTCCGGGATCACAAGGTGTGATCGTTGGTTCCTGTGCCCGGCGTCTTCAGTGCCCGGGACCTGTCCAGTGTTGCTGCCCAAACTGGCACCTAGACTCGCGGTTCTACAATTCGACGGAGCTTTCCTCCCCGCTGCCAATGCAGTATCCCTCCATTCTCATTTCCCAGCCAGTAGTCCCCTAGTTCTGTCACCCTGTGCCTGCGGCCTCTCTACCGGGACGGTAACTCTCCCTCAAGCAGTACAGCTGACTGCAGAGGAAGGGACCAGGTGGCTGCGGCCAGGAAGGGATCCAGGCAGAGACGCCCGGACCCTTTAAACCCTCAGTGTCCTGACGGAGTTGTCGGCGGCTTTTCACTACTTCTGCTCACACCCCTACCGGAGCCCCACATCTCTAACTCAAGTCCTTAGGCGACCCCCTCCTACGGACTGCGCTTACTGCCATCCTCTGGGGTCATCAGTACGTTCGGTGTTCCGGGCGCTTGCGGCGCTGGTGGCCCCCACAACCTCCCTCCCCACAGAATCGTGGACAGAGAACACCCACAGCGCAATTTCTGCTTCCTGAACTTGTTGCACTCGTGTCCCGCAACCCTTCCAAGTCCCAAAGGCTACTGAGACTTTAAAAGTGTTGTCTTCGGGATGCTTGTGGACAACTTCTTACTTCGCGCGGTGTTTTAGCAAGTCTGGCGACGAACACACTCTACAGCCTTCCGAATTAAAGCAAAAGGCGTTGTGGGCGCGCACCTGTTTGGGGAGGGGGCGGCATTGAAACTGTCACTCGCTGCGCCACTCTTCTCCTTTGTCCCTGGAAGGTCTTCTATTCTCTTACTAGGTCTGCAGTCTCTCTAGATAATAAAGGACTTGCGGGGCAAAAATGGGAAGGAGCGTGCGTTTCCGGAAACGGTTTGTCGCCCGGTTTCGCTGCTAGCAGGTCACTTCCCTTGTCTCAGTCTCCCCCTTCCCCCAGCAATGAACTTGGCTAATGACCTTTACAGGTTCCATCTCCCCGACCCCGACTTTTCTGTTTTTAATCATTTGACTAGTGGAGATTAATGAATCTCATTCAGATGAGAAAGGTCACCGCAAACAGTATCTTGTCTCTGCAAAACGCTGAGGGGACCGGTTCCTTTTGGTATTTGTAATGTGAAACTATGCTAATGAATTGTGTGAAGACACTTAGCGGACGTAGCAGCGGTGGGGGAGGAGACTTCGGTTTCCCGTCTGCCTAGGCTTCTGGTTGTCTTCAGATCAGCCCAGGAAGACTGGAAAGGAGTGAACTTAGCAGGTGCATTCTCACCCTCGGGAGCAGAGATAAATAATTACAAAGACCGCAGTGATTTGAGTTTGGGTTGCATTTAATCTTTTTTTTTTTGTCCCCAACGAGAGGACGAATTTTCAAGATTTCTCTAGGTGAAAGTTCTGAGTCTACGAATATAACAAATGTAGCGATGCTTAAAAACAGTTGGAGGAAGGAGAGCTTTATCTAGTCTGCATCATTTAGGAGGCAAAGCCACCGCTTAAAACACAAACATCGGGAAGCCTTCATACTTTCCCGATTGCCTTCTCCATAGTCAGTCATGGTGTGTGTGTGTGTGTGTGTGTGTGTGTGTGTGTGTGTGTGTGTGTGTGTGTGTGATGAACCACAGGTCAGGAAACTGAGGCTTGACAGAGTTGAAGAATGTATCCATGAAATTTGGGCTAGCTAACTGCTGAAGGTGGACCCAGACAGACTTCTTTTTGTATACTCTTCCCTTTTGTTTATTTACATTCTGGTAACAATGCCTTGGCATGCAATTTGCTCCTATGGCTTTAAGAGAATAGCATCCTCATTTCTTTAGTTTGTGTAGTTGTGGTTAGTGATTCAGATGAGGGCTCAGATTTCTCTTCTTCTGTTGAGATAATGACCAGACTTTTTCAAAGCCAGAGTTCCTCTAGGCAAGCCCCTTACTTGCAAACCGTGTCTTTAGTCTCAGAGCCATTTAAAGGAAGTAGTTTACAGGAAATGCTTTACAGTAACACACACACACAGACAGACACACTTTCACAGTAAAACAAAAACCAACCAATTAATCAAACAAACAAATCAGCAAACATTGGCTTAGAGGAGTGTGATTTGATAATAAGAGAAAGATATCTCCCATAAGAGCATGGAGCCAAGGGGAAAAAAACTCATATTGTTCTAGTCCTGCAGACAACGGCTGCTAACACATTTGGGAAGAATCTTTAAAGAAAGTAATAAAAAAAACCCAACCAAGTGTTGAGAGAGAGAGAGACAGAGAGAGAGAGACACAGAGAGAGAGACAGAGAGAGAGAGACAGAGAGAGAGAGAGACAGAGAGACAGAGAGAACTCTCAAAAGCACTGCATTTATTTTTTTCTGCCTTCAGAAAATGCCAGAACTTACTCCATGGGGAATGGAGTGAGAGCACTTCTTGAGCTTTTGTCTTTAAGAAGCTGGTAAACAGAGAAGCTTTCAGTTTAACAAGAGCTCTTTCTGACTGGGGCACAGTGAGTCCAGAACTTTAGGAACTGGGGTCTGATTCAGGAGCGTTGCCTACTTAGGGAGATGCCACTTCTAGTCACCCTGGTCTTCACTACTGGAATGACTGGGAGGAAAAGAGCTCTGAGTGTAACTGGATTTGTGAACAAGGCAGTTTTCTCACCAACCCCGCCCCAGCTCAGGAATTGTGGTGAATAAAGTGATAGCAAAGTTCTCACAGCTCCTCTCCTCTCCTCTCCTCTCCTCTCCTACCCCCAGTCCTTCCTTTCTTCCAGATCAGTGATATTAAAAGACAGACACAATTTAGACTCAATTGAATGTAACATAGCAGCAATTTTTGCTTTTGACCTTTGAAGCTGATCAAAGCCTCAATGGGCTGAAGAAGTATTTTGTCTGAATGGTCCAGGTTTTGTCTCAACTCAGTTTCTCTTGTTAGTAAAGATCCTACAAAACTATGTTCATTAAGTTATAGAAAGACACATAGACCTGATTTTGAAGAGACAGAAACATCTTTGAGTAGCCAAGGAAGGCAAATAATATCTCATCTAATCCCAAATGGGATCACCCCCTTATTTTTGTTCCCAAGACTCAGTTCCTGAGGGGCTTAATTTCAGAGCTTCTGCAAGAGATCTTTAGTAATATTTCTCAGCTTAGTGTTAGCTGACTATCATGCTAAGAAATACTTAACTTGAATGCATGACATGACTTAGAGAGGATTGGCTCTCTGTGAGGGAGCAGTGTGGAGAGGCCCACTAAACAGGGTTTCCTGGAGCTGAGAGAATCAATCAGTAAATGCATTCAGTCGAGGCAGTGACTCCTAGGTCTTCCTGAACTTGGCTCAACCTACAAAATAATGAATTAATTGAAATACGTAAATGCTATGTTTATTTTACATGTTTTTGCCATCAAACATCAAAGAGAATTTGACAAACTAAAATTTGCAGGAACCCAGATACTTATTGGTGTGTAAAATATAAATAAAGACAGCCTTTTGGCTTGTCAGAGGAAAGCTTTGGGGAGGGGAGAGGAGGAACTAGCTGTGGAAGCTGCAGTTGCGGGGTGCATTTACTCTGCTATGCTAAAGGTGAAACTGTCTCTAAGAGCAAACATGTTGGAACAACAGAATGAGAGTCCACAAGCCACTAAGCATCTCCTCATTAGGAAGATATAGGCAGAGGTTGCAAAATGAGTCCAGAGTACTTTCTAGTGTAGGCTTCTCTATCTGTGAAAAGTTGGGTTAGATGTTCCTCCTCTCAGGAACTGAACCCCCAGAGCTTCATGCATTTTAGGTAGTGAACTCCATCTCCTGCCCTTGTGTGGCTCTTCATCATTAAGCTTTGACGTCCTATCTTCTTTCTACAGGAAAGGAACCGAAAGTTTCATGTTATTTAGATGGTCTGACATTTCATGCAGACTTCAGTTCATGCATCCTAATGTAAACAAATAGTCCCACAGCAATTAGAAGACAAGAGACACAGGAAAGAGGAGTAGAGTGTGTATATTAATTCATTAAGTTCTAACACTTCATCCTAGAAAGTAAACAAAAACGAAGTGTCATTTTACCAAGTTAAGGACAATGTGACTCTCAGGAAGAAACAATCCCTGTTAGAAGAAACATCCAATAACTTTCAAGACCTTCATTTGACAATGTCTGGGAGAAATCAGGTCTCAGATGATCACAATGACACACTGGCAGGATTAAGAGTAGAAACTGCTTCCAGTGACAGCAAGTCTATGGGTACTGTAGCATGTGGAGGAGAGAATTTTTGAAGCAATTTTGGATGTAAGAATTAAAAAGAAGTTGTAGCTGGCAATTGTCTGGTAAAATCTTAGGTCAGCTTTTGGAAACTCTTCTGGCCAAGAGCAATCTGAACCTGGAATGGATTTTCCTGGAAGGTTCTAAGTACCTTCACACTCTGTTCACCAAACCAAGCTTACCGGGCTGTTTCAGAAGATACTCCTGAATCTGATAGGATGAGCTAGGTGCTTGTGTTTACATCTTTCCCTTCTAGTTACCATGAGGCCAGCATCCCAGGCTCAGAGAGATATGTTCAGTGTCATCTAGCTTGCTAGTTTGGGGAGTTGCAGAGATGATGCATCTAGTTGGTTGTAGAAAATGCTAGAAAATATTTACTAATAAGATGGCTCTCATTTGTTCCCTCCAGTGTATTTTGTTTGTTGTTCATTTGAAGTCAAGTAGATCAGGCTGGCCTTGAGCTCATGGTCCTCCTTTGCCAGCCTCCTGAGTGCTAGGATTACAAGCTTGCACCCCATGCGCAGGGTCCTTGTAGTTTTGGTTGTTATTCCTCGCATCCTGTCTCTTAGAGTTTCTAGAGGTATACCAGATAGCCTAGCCACCACGATTTATTTTGTAGCTATCCCTTTCTCTTGTGCCCTCCGAGAGTCACAGACGGAGTTGAGTTGGCCCCATAAAGGAGTTAAGAATGGTGAGCAGAGTGAGCTAAGAGCTATGCCAGTACCTACTATGAGGGCTGGAAGAACATAACAGACTACAGTGCAGAACACATCAGTTATGAAGGCCCTGACACCAGACTACATAGGATCTCAGCCATTCATGTGATTCACATTAAGTAGACACCTGAGCATCACTGTTTCATTCAAAGGGGTTACAATGTCTCAAAGGAGCTGTGTGTGTGTGATTCCATTGCACTTTGTCCTACTTTTTTGGGCTAGGAGAAGACTTTTATTGTCTGAAAGAAGCATTGCCTGGAGGGCTTCATTGAAAATGTCTTGCTGGGGGCTGAAGAGATGACTCAGTAGTTAAGAACACTAACTGTTCTTCTGTAGGACCTGGCTTCAGTTCCCAGCACCCACATGGCAGCTAACAGCTGTCTGTAACTCCAAGGCCAGACACTCTCACTCGGACATACATGATGGCCGAACACCAATGTACATAAAATAAGAATAAATTATTTTAAAAAGGAAAATGGCTTGCTGACATCATGTCTTTTCCCCCTTTACCTATCCTTGCCCCATTCTGCTCTAGGGTTTCAGTTATCTGATTTGGGAATAGATATGGAATAGAGAGAGGGAGCTTCAAATTTGTAGGAAACTTTTTAAGTGACGAAGAATTGCCTATAGTCTTCAACCTACCAAGGAAAATCCCGAATTTATGCTCCAGTTGTATCTTGAAGGTGTATGTCTCCTTGGAACACAAAAACAAACAAACAAACAAAAAACAATCCCCCTCCAAAATCAGAAACAAAACTGGGCATAATGGTCTGTATTTGTAGTCCTAGCACTTGGGAGGTGAAGGCAAGAAGATCGGAAAGAAATTCAAGTTCATCTTTGGCTTGACAT